CACATGTATGTATGTATATATGTACGTATATATAATATATATGTAATATATATATATATATATAAGAAATTAGTACTACTAGATAGTTAACAAATAATTTTCTCAGTTAAATGTCCAGTCAGTCTATAAAAACTCGTCTATTGTAGATTTTGTTGAACTATATAGAGTAAGTTTTTTTCAGATGTGAAAGAGTATTAGATCTTTTAAACTCCTGATTAGTTGTGATCCTGAAAACGATCAGGTTGAAGATAATGAATAATTAATTTGCGCTTTAAGTTAATATTACAGACTTTAATTTATATCGAATAATTATACTTATTACGATTAAAAAAAAACTTTTTATGCGACATTGTGACACACATACAAGTTTCTTACGAATAAAACCGAGTTATTCTTTATAAATACCACAAGAATGAAACTATGAAGAAAAATGTTTATATAGCTAACGAAGTAGAATTGTCTATTACGATATTGCGCATACACTTTCTTACATGTATACATTCAATTTTTTCTGAATACGTTATAGCATTTTGTAATGTTTAAGAGCAAAAGAGGGAAGAATTTTACAAATAGACAAGTTACAATATTGGAATGTTGACAGACACGAATGTAGCTATGATTTAGCACAAGTGTATATTTAATTTAATGACACACATCTTAATTATTTTGATAGAAAATCATTTGTTTATGTTATGGCATTAAACAAAGCGTTACCAATACGTTTCAAATCGGGTGCTTAAGTTGGAGATATAGAACAATTGCAAATTTGCATTACGAAACGCAACAACTTATGTCACATTTTTGAAAATGTACAATAACGATATATGTTAAGTAACGTATATGTGTGAGTGTGTGCGTGCGAATAATATACACTTTTTACCTTATTACCATAAATACGGCTATGTTTTATCTGAACAAAGATACATTGTGATATATCTCGAATAAATTAGTGTTTGTTTTTTTTCACTGTTATTGCGGTATATTTAAGTAAATATCAATTAAGGAGAGAAATCGTATACCTTTTAAATATACCAATAACGGTAATTATAATACCATTTTAAGTCTTTTGTATCTTCTTGAATATTTTGGAATAAATATGTAAAAGTAATTTAACACAATAATGTTATATTCCCAGTATAATATTGCTGAATATGTGAGTCAATACAGAATGAAGTGGTAGAAGGCGACTAGTTCCAAGTAACGAATAGCAATCAGTCAGAAAAGTAAAAAACAAAAAAAACAAATAAATAAAAAAATCTAATACAACAACAGGAAGAGAAATATATAAGCTTCAGTTTGTGCTATTATGTAAAAGTAGGAGAGTTTATTTTGTTTACGACCGAAAATAAAATTGCTTGGACTGCATAAGAAATGAAATACAATCAAAGTATATGTATAATACACACACACATAGGATGAGAATAACTTTATATATATGTACAAACACAATAATTTACTATAATTCTTATGCCGTATGAAGATATATAGCATAATTCAATCACGCAGTGATCTTCAAAACTATTTTCTTCAAGTAAAATTTTATTAAAATTAGGCATGCATATATGTTTAATATAATTAAAATAATGTCTAATAATTTTTTTCAAATCTTTTCGCTGTTGTGTGTTTCCTTTTGATTGCCGACGAAATGGTTTTGTACAATGTGTTTCCTTAGTACGCGCATATGATGGATTTTCAATTGTAATTAACTGCAACTGGTTACTCCATTACCACTCTGAACTCGCATGGTCTTTTGCTCGTGTCGCTCCACTGTGACTCTTGATGAACAGAAATCTCATTTTCATCACTTTCGGTTCGGCCAGTCTATTGCACATGATTGCATGTATGAAATCGTATACATATTGTATACACTAACTGCTCTGTGATTTCTGTAAACATATCATTATAAGTATCAATAGCATATTTCCAGGGAGAATTTGTACATATGTGAGCGCGTATATATGTGTTAAAACAATCAAATAAATACGGGAAGAACGTATTTCTCTCTTTTTATTGAAAAAAATCACGATTTTGTATAACTCTGCTCTGGAGTGCGAACTTTTATCTTTTGTCACGAGTGATAAGTGACGACCTTATCCTGTTTACTTTTGCTTTCAGCAGACGCGAACGTGCACATTTACAAAATACTTTAAGTGAACGCGTATGTGTACTAAGACGATATTATACAATCAAAGTATCTTTAATTGTAGGAATTCATATTATTTTGTAGATCAAAGATTTATTGGCAAAAGTTACTTTATAATAATAGGAATTACTTCGAAATATATTGTTTAAAACAAAATAAAAACGGTTTGTTAAAATCGATTATCTGTGTCAATCAATCGATATATCTATTATGTACAGTAAAAACAAATAGTTATGAAGATCCGCACATCTCTTGGACAAATTGATTCAAAAGTAAGAAAAGAATACGAAAAAGATTGCGCGATTATCAAAATTATTACAGAGTTCCAAAAATTAGAATTATAGATTAGTATTAGATTTATTATAAGGAATAACACAACACAATCGAGTAAGTTGCTTAAACAGTGAAAAACTCTTAGTAATATTATAGTTAAAACACATAGAAAGGAATTTTGTCAGTAATGTTGGTTGCCGTTCTTCCGATGCTAAATGTTGCAAGAAAATTTCGACTCAGCCACGACTATGTAAAATAAGATTAAAAAAAAAAAAAAAATAGTTATACAACACATAATAGGTTAAAACAAATAATTGTAATAGCAGGATATACTTTGCAATTTTTTATACACACGATATAAAACTAATGGTCGTGACTTTTCCACGAGATCTTATAATCAAGATTAAAAAGTTGTGATAAATTACAAAATCGCACAAAAACATGTCAGCTATTCCGCTATTACAATTGTGAATTATAAGTTCAATTGATGTTTAATTCTACATATAACAGTGAGATCAATAAAACTACTGTTTCGTTTTTATATGAAGACATATATTTTACACAAATTTTGTTTCAATAGTCCTATTCTGTAGAATACAAATATATCGAAATATTTAACAAAGAAATATATAGCAAAGATAATAAATATATGTATATATATGTATATATATATATATGTATATATATATATACATATATATACATATATATATATATAGTAAATAAGTACAAAGCTCTCACACTCACAAGTTTTTTCTCTATAATAGTAAAGAAGCACGTTTGAAGCACATTTTTTATATGTAATCTTTCACGTTTCACATTTATATTCATATTATTGATGTGTAAAGATTGTATCCGATGTGCAGAATAGGACTATAGCGTAAAAAAGACGTTTATAACTACAGAACAAAAATTATATCCCACGTTAAAATTCTAACTCAATTCTCTCTAACGAGATAAGCGACGAGTGTTACATTAACTATGTTCACTTTTTTCTCGTAAATTACTATCGGATTAAGATTGTATATATGTATATGTGTTTGTGTGTGGTGTTCCATCAATTAATATTTAATGTCTTATTTGAAACCATTGTTTTCCTATATATATATAGGTCTACATATTGATTGCAATACGAACTGGAAACACATATTGTTAATATGAACATTATACTTGTCACTAAGTGAGGCACGAAAGCTCAGCCAGAGGAGATATTCATCTATCAAACTATTTTTACAAATTTGTATATAATAATCTAGTTACCCTAATAGCATCCCTAGGTAGATCTCAATCACTTTAAGGAAATTATATTAAGGTATGTACACTTCAGAGGTGTATATACACTTCATGTATATATCTCTTTCCGTGATTCGCAATCTATTGTGTCGTGGAATTTAATTTAAAAAAAGTTGTGTCTGATTTTATATAAATATAAAAAATGAACGAGACAGTATATTAATTAGTAGAGCGCGCGAAAATTCGCGAAGTTTTCAATGAGTCATTTGCACATTTCTGCTAAAGAGTGATTCAAAATTTTCTTTCACAACGTTCACAGTAAAGCGAAGTTTTCTATTCGGATTCAATAATTACGTATGGGTAATTTATATACGGATTTCAGCATCGCGTTTGTCATCTGGAAAGACTCATCATGAAACTTCACAATCTTTCTGGTCATACTGATCAGATTTAAAAACAAAAAAAAAAAATTTTAATGCCAGCGAGATATATTAGTATGTTCACAAGTTTTCATTTAATGAGACATTGTTAGTAAAAATAGAGTTAATTCATTCTCTTTTTTCATAAGATTTATATATTTTTATTTCTAATATATATTACTTTAAAACGATATATATATATATATATAATAGATTGTGTGTTAACTTCATTAATTCCAGGATAGTCCTTTTATAACCAGAAACGGTAAATATACTTTGGTACACATGTATGCTTCATCATGTTATATAAAGACGGCCTTGATGTATAGTTTCCATTTTTCAAAAAGATACTGAATTTTCATAGAGATATGAGAAATGCTTATAAAATCAAAGAGAAATAGATCAATGGATTTGATATGCGTTATTTATTGTTTACAAAACTAATTTATCTATTACATATATATATATATATGTATATATAATAAATATATCAGAGTTGAAACATCACGCGCGTGTTTTTACTTTGTTAATATTGATTAAGTTCATTTATACTATTTTAATGTACTTGAATTGCGCAAAGTTTTTTTGCACGTAATACAATTCACATTGACACTTCCTGATATAAATTTGCACGATATATTTCTAATTCTGTATTCTAAAAATGTTTTAAACCGATATCTCATCTTTGATGTATATTAAAATGAAACAGCATATAAATCATATCAAAGCTCTCACGAGAGATAAGAGTAAATAAGAAACTAAACTCAAGGCCTCCTTGCTAAGTGCTATAAGTTGATATCTTTTAAATTACTTGAAGAAAATATCAATACACAGTTTCTCAAAGACACAATTTCATCTGTATACAAGACTGAACTTTAAAACTAAACAATCAGTTCCTACTCTTCTTACATAAAAGTCTTACAGTCTATAAAAGTGCACCAACTTGATCATTTTTTTGTAAACATCGTAAATCGATTATATATGAAGAATAGGAAGTACTGATCGAAGAAGTAAATATATAATCTGAGCACTAACTTTTCTAGATCTACAAAAATATATAATTATATATATATATATATATATATATATGTATGTGTATATATATATTTATATATAGCAATATTATGCACTTTATCAACATGGCAAGAGGGTATGTGACAGAAATATATTTTTCTAAATTCTTATTAAATTCAAATGAAAATCTCGCCTCACGTATGTATTGTAGTACAGAAGTTTTTGTACACTGTGTGTGGTTGAGGAAAGTACATTCTCAATGAACGTAACGTTAAATTTTGTTTTTTTTTTTTTTTGCATGTGAAAGATTAATGCAAGCGGTATAAAATGTATAGTAATTATCCTATTGTGCAAACTTCACAATAATATTACCCATTTTAGAGGATATTGTTCTTTTAAAAATATGTTCAAATAAATGCATACGTAATAACATATTATGCTTTTTCTACACCTTTTTACATATTTATATTAAAACTTACATCTTTATTATGTACTGTTTATTTTTGTTTTTCAGTATTTTTCACTTGTATACATCTCTACAATCTAATTTTTAATATAATATTTGACCAGCTGTACTTATACAATACTGCAGTATAAATACGTTTTTTTCTTCAAGAAATAGAAAAGAAATTTATAAAATCCAATAATAGTGATAATTGTAAAAACATTTGTTAAATAACAAAAAAAAAAAGACGTTGATTACTCCAGATATAGCATAACCAACTCTTTACACTTTCTCTTGAAATATGCTATCAATCATAAAAAACGTTTCTTATATCTTTATAAAATATTTCACGTGATCGATTTCTTTTACACACATACTCTAAATAAAAACATCGTTCAAAAACTTAAGAAGATGCATATTAAAAGTAAAAGGTAGATATTTATCCTTAGTCCCCCTGTAGTTGATATATTTTTCTTGTGTATATTATTAGTCCATTAAAAATATTAACTGACTAATTATTAATCTGCAAATTAATAATTAAGTAAGCATGTTCACTATCGATACAGCACTTAAGTTTTCGCCATTTGTTCCTTTCTCTCCTTCTCCCTCTCTCTCTTTCTAACGCAATTACAAAAATCTCTTTCAATTTGTATATAAGAAATAGAACTTTTTACGACAAATACATATCCGAGAAGCTGTTTTACTATAGATAGCTAATAAAATTTTTACGTAGCTCGAGCTTGGAACAAATAATACACATGTAGAGTAGATAGAAAAACACTTACACACAAAAATTACTTAATATTCAATAAATTGTCTGCATAATATTGTTTAGTTGTTTTACGCAATGTACGTTGCCAAATCTACTAATTATCCTTCATAGACACACTTAGTTCTGTCAGGACTCACCAGTTTTTATAGTACAACAGTGTAATTTTTCTTTAACATTCATAAGATTTTCTTACATTAATGATTATACTATATAATCAAATAAACGTATTCTCGGTAAGTTCTGCATCTTTAAACGAATATGGAACATGTCTTATCATTTAAATTGTACCTTCAATGCAATATAGAAAAAGATCGAGGGTTAGTTATGTCAAAGGGACGTATCCAACACTTACACTATTCGCTTTGCTGGGACATACTTCCCGAAACACTTTTTCGATGAAAGGTTGCCTAAAACAACAATAAAATTATCATTTTACATTACGAGATTCACGAGAGAATAAATACGTAGTTAGTAGTATGTTCAGACTCGTTTAGAGGTCAAGTGTAAAATTATTGAACTCTTACGACGGCAATCTAATTATAATATATTCTGGAATTCAGCCAAATTGGTAGAAGAGTGCTGACTGTTTTATTTGGCAGTTGCAATGTCAATGTGTTACAGAACTCACAGCAAGACAGTATAAGGAGTTAATATTTTCAATTTCTGTTAACGAAGCTACACAATCGACAAGATATAATTCTTCAAAACGATTGGATTCGACACGTACGTGTTATGTAAGTAACGAGATTTTTATCTTCTATTAAAATTTATATAATACACTTGGCTGTGTAAAAATTAACCCTGTGTAAGAATTTGCGATGTGATAAAACTTGTTTAAGTGTTACAAAACTTACTTAGCATGAAGACCGCCACCGGGAGGTAAGTGCGGAAAATCTATCTCGCTTGTTCTAAGAAGTTCAAGCATTCTGTTGTAATCGAAATCTTCTTTCTTATCCTCTTCTTCAACTATTTCTATAAATAAAGAAACAAGTATTAACTCGCACATTCGGCAGTAGATATTACATAAATATACTTATATATATTAGATACCAAAATATATATATAAATAACATATAACAGTCAATTATATGTTCTTAGACTATGTGCAACTTAATATATGTGCTTTTATACGTAAGATATATATGCTCGATAAAATGTGCTTAACGTGTGTGATTTAATATTTATGATTTAGATTTCCCATAGATGTATAAAATAGCAATTGCTTTTGTTTTTTTTATCACTTAAATTCACTACTTCTTTACGCATTCATGTGTGATTGTACGTGTGTGCACTTCTATGTATCTATTTGAAAATAATTTTGAAATAAGAACAATATTAGCAATTTGTGAGGAAAGTTCAAGCTATGCTATAATTTATATAAGCGCTGCAATGATATATAAGTAAGATGTTACAATACGACAGATGTTAGATCTGTACATGCAACGTGTTGAGAAGACTCTTGCAAGAAAAATATAGCAACTTGATAACTTGACATCAGAAACATAGGCGTACATGTGACAATATCGTGTACATGCATCTACTTAGGACTGGATGAGTAAAACGTAATTACATTACATTTCTTATGGAAACATACTCCCGTCTTAAGTAGATACATTTTAGTAAAGTTTTATATATAAAAACAAAAAATCAACATGACGCAAATACATTGTCCACCTCTGGAATTGTATATATATGTTTTCATATATTTTGTAAAAAAATGTTTTGCAATGTTCCTCCATAAGAAATGCATTGCTAGTAGAAATAATGTCAAGAGAATATGTAATAAATGTTAAACTTTTGTAAGAAAGTTTGCACCTACCTTGTAACACGATTCAGATGAACTTTTAAAAGAGGAACACAAAAACAAAAAAAGAACAATTTTCTTTTGTATATATCTTATAAAACAGTAAATAAATTTACTGTTATATACAGTTAATATTTAAATATTCGACTTTAAATTAATTAATCAACTCCAAGGGTGGAACATACATCTTTCAAATATAAATTTTATATATTTATTAACAACCTATGTCATTGTACACATGACAAAATGTTTATTAATTCTATAATGCAGACTAACTTCTTGTCTTTTTATATAACCAGAAATATGAAATATATTCATTTAATCTGATCACAAATAGGACGCGAAAAGTTTTGAATCATTTATTTATAATATTTTGTTGTCATTGTACTTTAAATGACCTTGATAAACCTTCTCACAATTTTATATTATTACAGTAATGCCATATAATAAGAAAAGTCTTGATTTATTCAAATATTATTATGGTATTATTCAAACAAAGTAATTTATCAATTAAAAGTCTCATTAATTTTCGCGTCCTATATTATAATCAGTAGATATATCATATCTTAAGTTCTATCATGTATTTTTTTTCATGTGAATGTTGCATTATTTCTATTTTTTATAGTATGGAATTGTACTTATATATTCTCTTAAAACTTTGTAATATATTCATTTCTGTGTCGCTATATATTGTTAATACTAACAAAAAAAAAAACAAAACAAAAATGTATATTGTCTTGTTGCAATACACTTCAGTTCTCTTAACATCAGAATCCTCACATCAATTTACACATACATAGCAGACACATATATAGCACAAGTTAGTAGTTTTAAAGTTTATGTATGTTATATAGTAGTTAGAATATACACAATTTTAATGATATGAGATCTGAGAGCGAGACAGAGAGAAAATGATGATTTATTTAAGCACATCTAGTTGCATCTGTTCTTATATTACATACGTGTTGTATGTTCCTTATATGTAATTGCACAATGTATAAATAATTTCTAAGAAATATATACAGTATATGCATTGTGATAGAAAATACTGGAAGATCGCGGAATAACAGATGCAACAAGAAGAAATTAAGATAAAACCCCAGTGAATATGCACTTTCTCACATACAGAATGATTTACGACATCAACATCTTGTTTTCTCATGTAACACATACACCATACAAGAGAGACATCCATTTTATTAATTAATTACAAAGTGCAATGTTAAGAAGAAATTATGAAAAAAATCACACATCATGTGATTATATAGCTTAACTGATTGTGTACAAGCTTTAATATTTACATTTCCGTTAGTCGTAGTTAAATTTACTATATCAATATTTTTCTAGAAATTTACTTTGTATCATTGTTGTGATTGTATCATTGAACACTGAAAAACATTTCTAATACTTTCATAAAAGATTGTAATGGCTAGTTATATCCCATGGCACATATGATATGTAGAGTATAAATAATACTTTTTTGCAGAACTTGTTTGTTTAAACTAATTTTAAAACATCTATGAAACAGCAAATATTACTATCCTGACTTTATATATATATATATATATATTGTATATATATACACACACATATATATATATATATATATATATCACTTTATAGAACTACACATCACCTCTAACACAATAAATCAATATAATTTAACGATAAAATTTATCTAAAAAAATAACAATTATATAATACAATGACTTCCCGATATATATAACTACTTTTATATGATTATCTAATACATTTATCACATTTATCATTACTGTACTCTACCATTTATCAATACAATTATATGTTCTAATGCAAATTATTATACTTTGAGCCATTATGTTGTATAGTAGGTCTCTTTTTTTTTTCATTTGATTAATGCTGCAATATTTGCAATTTTATATAAATTGTAAAGTATTTAAGAATAAAAGAATTTTTTATTGCTCAAAATAGACTAGATTGCTTTATATGATCAATCTTTCTCAATAATTTCTAATATTTATAAAGTTTTTTTGCTTTGGCACCAAGTTTCTTGTAGCAAATTTCTATTAAATATGTATCAGGAAAAATTTCTCACATTATGTACTTACAGTTTATATATACACATGTATATGTATATGTGTATATATATATATATATCATATTAATTTATTACGTCTTTTTTGTGATGTGTATGGCATTGTGATCTCGAATTACTGCAACAACAGAAAGAAAATAATGGATGTAAAAATGGAAAAGTTAAAGAACCTTTAATTCTCCTTTCTATAGCCATTTCCAGCTCGGTCTCTTGCCTCTGTGCTTCAGGATTTGGTTTTGGCGCGGCTGGGAACGTCACCAAGACTATACTCATATTATCTCTGCTACCCTGTAACCAAATTTCCAATTTCTTTTAATTCTTAAGTATATATATATATGTATATAAAGAAGGTATATTGCATTGTATAAAATATATAAAATAACTTTTCTACAGTTCTTAAAACTTAAAATTATAAAAAGACCAACAATATATGGTCTAGCATAATAAATAGCATATAATAAATTTACATATTTATCATAAATAATTCACAAAACATTATTGATGTACTATATAGATATCTTTCTTTTTCTTGAAATGTCTTGACATGTCTTATGTATAGATATGTATACATATTAATTTCTGTGTTGCAGGTTTACTCTTTCTTCTCTCTCTATTGTGAAAATAAATATTCAAAATACATGGTTATATACCTTATAAAGACAAGTGTCTACAACCAGATTGGTAACTGCTTCTAAGTCATCGGTTAACAGTAGCCTTGAATGTATAAAACTACATAAATCTTCGTTGGTCATAACATCCCAAATGCCATCACATGCTAAAACTAGAAACTCATCGTGTTCATCGTCCCTGTCTCGCACAAATATTTCCGGTTCCGGTGACACTAACTGCTCACAAGGCCCTCGATCCTTTAGATTTTTGTACTCGTAATCACCCAATGCTCGGGATACTGCCAGGGATCCGTTAACTCTTTGGATCATTACGCTACCACCTGCATTTTGAATTCTCTCCTTCTCGGCAGGCAGAACAGGCTTGTGATCTCGCGTAGCAAAAACTGGTACCCCGGACCTACACAGTACTGCTCGGGAGTCGCCACAATTGGCGATATAAATATTTTTGGGTGATATAAATGCGCATACTGCCGTAGACCCAGATTTGTCTGTGCCGGAACTCATCTCGGGTAGATCTCTCATTTTGTCGTCTAGTCTGAGAAACCCAGAATGGATCCCTTTGATAACATCCTCCGCTTTAAACTCCTTTGTTTCCATGATGCATTCTAATAGATGCTCTGCACTGTGCCCTGATACTGACGCGCCTGCATGGCCATCAAACACCGCAAAATAGCTCCAGTTGGATAGACCACCTTCCAGACAAGGTATTGCTCTGTGAGCATCCTCCATTTCCATTCGCCAGCCTTGCATACTGGCAACTCCGTATCGCAGGCCATTGCCAGTTCCATGCTCATTGCACTTCTCTGTTTTTGGTGTATCCAAAAATGCCCCCATATTACTTGCCAAATATTTGTATCCTGATCAAGTTCCTTGCTGTATATTATTTGATCAGCATTGTTCACACTGATCTTCAGAACACAGCACTTCTCTTATATTTACCTAAAAATCAAAGGCTACTATATAACAGAATTAAAAATAATTAATTAATTATTCCTCAATAAATTTCCGGTAGATTTCGGTTTAGTTCGCAAAACAAACTTAATTTCACGCGAGTTTTCTCTTTCAACAGAAAATTTTCACGTCGCATTGTTGAAACGACAACGCGAGAAACGCATCAATAACGCGGAATAATCAAGTTTTGTCCGCATAAGTGTAAAAGGATTCGAAAGGCCAAAGTCGAAAACGAAGCACCCCGCTGGGAGGATTTCTCCCGTGCACCACGTTGGAGCTACGCGGCGCAAACACGTCCGCCGACACGACGACGCGTTTCTCTCAACGTACGTGGAGTGCGTGCATTATCGGGGGCCGGTACGGAATGATTCTATATCGCTTACGCCACGCGTTGTACGCGCGAGATCGGTGATAGGCCGCGCGCGAATTTGTCACAGGATCTCGATAACGTTCGCGCTACGACGATGTAACGGCGCGTCGCCGGACACACAACGTCGCGCGCGAGGAAGCCTCTCTTATTTGGCAACGGCGAATTTTCGCGACTAAAATAGTTTACGCCGCTCGCTCGCTCGCTCGCTCGCTCGCTTGCTCGGTTGCGGATCTCTCGCGCGCGGCTTGGCTCGCGAATTAACTTACTCAGAGGAACTTACGTCGGCGGACCGTGACCAAATAGCATCGTCGCTTCGGCTACTTAAAAACGAGATGCGTAACTCGTCGAACCAACTGCCGTCGCTGCTGTTGATGCTGCTCTATTGCGTGGCGATATTGCAATATGTAGGTACCCCGGGGAGCCGTTAACGCGCTCGCATCATGTGTGCGCGTGTTGTTTTTTTTTATTTCGTATTTGCTTCGCAAAGCGCACGAGTATATAAACCAACACCGTCGCACCACCGTTTCGTTCGTCTTTGGCTGGCTCTGCTCTCGTGCCTGCTCGTGCCCGCCTGCCTGCACACACAGAGAAACAACGAAATCGACGATTCGCATGAATGGCGGATACACACGGCGCTCGGTGACGATGCGCGTGCGCAAGGTTTATTAATAGCGAACCGCGCGCTGTCGTCATCGTCGACCAATCGGCGTCGCGCGCTTTCCGTTCAAGCCTCCGGGGTCCTCGATACATATCTCGCTTTATTGTATAGAGAGGAGATACGCGCGCGCCGCGCACACAATGAGGGGGGTGTAAAATTAACTCTTCGCTCGCGCGAGATATATACTCCGGAATTGCACCCGTCCCCGAGGCGCTCTCTCTTTCTTCGAGAGGTGTCGCGCGGAAACGAGCGCGATTACGCGGCTGATAAGCAGAGAGTAGTCATCATAATTTTATTTCCGAGCGTTTAATTAACGCCGCGTCATCGCCGCGACCGATCCCTATCCGCGAAATTCAAAAATTCGCAACGAATCCGCCGCCGCAACGTGTGTGCCGGTCGCGCGGATACGACGCGGGGTTTTTACGGTCCGTGTGTCGTATCGGATTGGTTTATTGATTGGCTGATAGCCGATGGGAATTCCGCTACGGCGAGAACACGGGAGACAACGGGTCATTGGATTACACGTTATTACACCTAGATGCACTCCATTAATCCGCGTTTTGTGCTCGAGCGTCACACCGTCGGTCTATATAAACGTTCGGCAATTCTCAGGCAACAGCTCATTGATCTCCTCGATGGCGGGGCCGCCACATCCCCGCGCGATCACGAGCTCGCGTGAAAAAAAAAAAACAAATGCGCGCGATGCCGCTTCGTGAAGCCGATGCTCGACCCAGTTTCGAATAATTCCTGAGAAAGTGGAACGTTGGTGCGGCCGAGCGTTCGAATCCATGCGATTCGCGAGTTTTTTACGCGCGGCGCATGCGCTGAGAAAAAGGGCGGAAAAAAAAAATATATATATACATATATATCAACAATTGCGCACGTTATTGAAACACAATTTTTTATTTCTTACATCGTGATTGATCGAGAGATCGATTGCTTACAAAAATCGTTGACGGAGAAAAAACCGCGGATGCGTGCTGCGTCATCTATATACAAAGCTTCAACGTGAAGAACCTTTATACATCTGTACACAAAAAAGCTTCTAAATAACGAGGCGACAAGCGGATTCGTAGAAAAATTGTTATTTTGATCTTTTTTTAACGAAAAAGTAACACACACTTGAAAACTAAATTGAACTTTAAGAGAGAGAGAGTACAACGTGTTCGAGGTATTTTCAAATAAATAAACTTAAATACGAATTTTTTTTCTCTACCAGGATCATTGGAGATAAATACACGGACGCGAAAAGGACGAGTTTGGAACTGGTACTTCTGACGCTCGCCAACCGGTTATTTCGTTTTCGATACAAAATCGAGATCTCTGGGAGTCATGAACTGTCTGACGACGTCGTCCGTTATTTTACTCTTCGCTTCCTGATGAACGGCAACCAATCGCTGCAGCACGTCAATTAGCTCCTTCTTCAGCTCGCCCGTGAGAATCTCCCCGCTGGTGTAGCCCTGAAAGAAATAAAAAAAAAAACGAACGAGCGATTCTCGCATTAACGGCAACAGTCAAATTCGAAGAAATTTGAAGAAATTTGGACGAGAGAAAGAAGTGAGAGAAAAAAAAACTGACTTTTCTGATCTGTTCCAATCGCTCGTCGTCGTCCAAGAAAAATCGCAACCACTGATACGATATATCCACTTCGCAATTTCCACCGAGTTGTCTGTGCTTCTCCACGGTGTCCTGACCGCCCGAGAACGCGTGCTTGTTGACCTTATTCTTGATCTGTTTGGCGGTATCCGTGAGAAATATCGCGGTGCTGTTATCGCTCGCCGACATCTTCGTCTTCGAACCTTGCAACGCCGGGAAGAAGCAGGAATGTAACAAGGCTGGTTTGGGAAAACCAAGTTTAGGCGCCACGTCCCTCGTCATGCGAAAGTAAGGATCCTGATCGATTCCGCACGGGATCAGACACGGCACTTTGGCGTTTTTGAAGATAAACGGAAACGAACTGGAAATGGCCGGTGCCGCCTGCGTAGGTGGAAACGCGATCTTTCCGATCGGATCGCTGTCGCCGAATCCAAAAATGCCCTTCACCTGATTGAACGTGACGCTTCTCTGTATCCTGATCATGTTCTGATAAAATGCGGCATTGTTTCCAACGTGTTCCAAATTTGAAAAGATGAAGGTTTTTTCGGGATTTAGGCCGCAGGCGATTATATCTCTCGCGTTCGCGTAGGCCAGTTTGATGGCGTCCTCTATCTTTATATTCTTCCATATAGCCTTCTCGTCGTCCGTCATCTGCACGACCAAAGGAACATCGAACACATCCTGCAACCATTTGCAGAACACAAACGGAATGAGATGTCCCAGATGCATAGCGTCCGAACTAGGTCCTCTACCTGTGTAAAGGTAAAACGGTTTTCCTTGTTCGTAAAGATTCAGAATGGTATTCATATCTCTGTGGGAGAAGAATATCCCTCTTCTGAGAAAGTGATGAGGTTTCTTGCCGGTGATCTTTTCGAATCTGGCCAACAGCTCGTCGTCTATCTTGGAACTTCCGAATTTCTCTGCAAGCAAAAAAATGCACGCGTCAAAAAAAATTTATAAAATCTCGAAACTGTAAATAGGTAGCATTCGTCACGACGACACGTGCACACTTGTCAAGAATATAACCTATATATAAAAAAAAAAAAAAAAATCCATTGATACAAAATAAAATTCATTTTTAACGCGCGTTCTCGTCAAAAATGTCTGAGAAACAATTGCCCGATATCGCGAAATACGAATCAACGCGTGACTCACTGATCAATTTATCGTAATCGATTCCGGTGTCGTTGTTACTCGTGACCGTCCACGGTGTCACGACATCGTCGTCCTCGGCGACGCCGTTTGACGCGTGTTCCCGAATCTGCGCGTTCTCCGTCGTCATGTTTTTACCGGATGATCCTTTTCCAGATTGTCTAAATAATAAGATTGCACGGGAATTTACGCGAATCTGTCTGGCTCATGTGCGACACAGATGGAAGAATATCGGGTGCCGAACGCAGCACAGCTCCCACTCCGCGAAAAGAGGTTATGTCATCGTCCCAACGGATGGACATGGACAACCGCTTTTACCTGTGCGCACGCAAGCGACTTTGTCGCGAATTTCGACGAACAATAAGAACCATCTTAATTGCTGAGATGACGCAACGGCCATTGTTAATTGCGTTTTCGCGCGTCGACGATTTTTAATACAAAATCACCATTAAAAACGCACGATCTCGCATATAACGCGAGATGACGCGTTAAAAAATATAGATACAGTATTTCTTATCTCGCCCGTTATGTCGCGCTGTCAATTAGCGTCCAGCGAAACCTAACGCGAGTCTTTAGACTCTTGATCTTTCTGTTAGGTTGTTGTGTTAAAAATAAATTTTTTTCACAATTTTCTCACACGTGAAAAACAAACGTCGCGTCGATATAATTCGTAACACACATCTCAATATTTATTTATATTTAAGTTTTAACACAAGAGAGAAATAATTTTTCATACACATTAGAAAATACAAAATTCTTTTTTTTACACATATATCTGTATTAAATATAATAATATACACAAAAAAACATATCTCGCAGCATTTACACCATCATCTATGACACAACTCTATCTCTCAACTACTTCCAGAGGTATTACATTGCAACCGAGAAGACCCTTGCCGTCCCAAGGACGCGGAGTTAACGACAGAATTATAACGTTAGATCCCCGTTTGATTTTCACATTGAACGTCTTGTATCTGCTGTTCTCCACCAGCATCCCAATGTCTTTTAACGATTTGAAGTTCCGATAGTGCACGGATCCAAATTGCATTATCAAATCATTGACTTGAATTCCCTGATAGAGAAGAAAAAAACAGCAATTAGTTCGGTTTGATGAAAAAAACAAGATTTTGTTATCACGAGCAAACGATGTATATAACATACAAAGATGTTTTTTCGGGTTTGAACCGCGTGAGTGTCATTTTTATACCGACGTCTCGTGAACATTATTAGCTCACTTCATCAGGGTTTAAAGAACAGCCTGATACAGTATCAGGCTGCTCTTCACGAAACGTTGGTATAAAAATGACACTCAAACCCGAAAAAACATCTTTGTATGTTAATACTACACACCGCGAAAGCATCAAATATCAAACGATGTATATGTTCTGAAATGTGAAGTTTTCCATTTAAATTCACAAAATGGGTTGTTGATATAAAAAAAACATAAGAACACAACAACATACTGCAATTTCCGCTGGTGAACCGGATGAGACTACGTTCACTCTCAAGAAAGGCTCCAGTGTTTCTGTTTCCGGACTACTGGATGCGTCAGATGCAGGTTGTTGGTCTCCATTTGTAGCTTTTGAAGCGGCATGAATTTTGTGCAACCCTTCCTCTATCTTCGTCATCAATGCTTTGTGATCATTTAGGAGATCTGATGAGACACAACACATGACGTGTTATCAAAATATACACACATACACACACAAACATTATAACCTCGAAACACAACAAATATATTTACGTACGTATCAACTTGCTTCTCGTGTGTCGCACTTGATACACATCGATGTCCTGTCTGGGATATCCTTCGGAATCGACCAGCGGTTCGTTCATGCCGATATTATTCTGCAATTGCGGCGAAAAATTATAGAATAAGTTCGTCAAATTTTGACAGATCATGCTGCGCAAAACGAAACTCGCGGTATTCGCGTTTAATTTTTTTGTCTCGCTAATTGTTTGAATTTATAATAAAAATACGTACGGAGTCCAAAATCTCTCTCAGCGCTCGTATGTCACCTTCCATCTTATCTTTGTCTTTTATTAATTGCAACACGGCATCCTTGGTCTCTTGCAGCTCCATGTCGACGTCCATTTTCATCTTGACCGAATAGCAGAACGTAGGAAACTTGTTGTGTGTACACTTAAGAGGGTACTGGATACCGACTATAGAGACCTGTAAACCGACTTTCTCCTATGACGTTTGGTGTCGTATTTACTTCATTAAATCTAAAATGCTTCTACAAAAATAAGTAAATTGTGCTAAGGATTGGCGCTTATTCTTTGGAATGTCAAAATTCAGCATAAATTTTTTCTTATACAGTTTCCTTCTATAACCTCACTATATATTCATGTATGTAGAATTATTTCTAAGCTTATGTACATATTTACAATGAACAAGCGCCACAGATACGACAAAAACGAATCTAATGAGACATTCAGATTATGGTATGACTATCTAATTGATGAGAACGTCTTAGTGTGATGACAGTATAGGTTATCACATGCTATCATTATGAATGAAAAAAAGAGTTTCAAAAGGCATTATATATCTATTTTCAAAAGCACTAAATAGTTGTTTATATGTATTTGCTTCTATAGAAGCACTTTTTATGTAATGCAGTAAAGAAATTTAAAAATTAGAGAAATTTAGGTTTTTAAAACGTCGGTTTACAGGTTTCTATCCAGTTTACAGGCCGGGCTCCAGTACCCTCTTAACCTCTATATATATATATGTAACATATATAATTACCTATATATATACGTAACATATATAATTACTAGAGAATCTTTAGCCGCGTTCCGTTTCACGCATATGCGCGCGTTTATCTATACTATACGTGACGTGTACTATAGATACGCGCGCGCGTATGCGTGAAACGGAACGCAGCTTTTGAAATACTGCGTATTTCGGATTTCAAATCAACAGAGAAACGTCAATAGAGAAACGTCAAACGAGATTTTTATCAAACCGATGACGACGTGTTGTTTAAAATTAGTTTTTATATTTACAGTAGAAAATCAAAAAAATGTACTTATTAAACAATTGATTTGTGACGCGCTTTTCTCTAAATTCTTCAAATCACGCGCGTCGAGATCAAAGTTGGCAACAGTTGGGCGGCTCACTTCTCGCCGGTTATCTAGTGCGCCCGCGAGAATCGTGACCTGTGATTTGTCATCCCGCGCGGACGGTGACACGCGACTTTCGTACAAAAAAAAAAAAAGGAAACACCCAAGGAAGCGTCACGCGGTTTCCGATCGTTCGAACAAAACGCGAGTGACAAAAGCTTCGTCGAGAATTGGAGCTTTTATCTTACGATCCGCAAACGAACGAGCGAAGTGTGGCGTGCGTGGCAAATCGTGCCAACTATTTCCGGTGGTACGGCGCTTTTTGACCGCGAGGTGACGTTTTTTTTTTTCTGCGGCACGTATTCCGCGAGGTGTGCTTCTGTCGGAGAAGGCGAGCAGGCGAGCGTATCGAAGACAGAAGGAAAGTTGAAAAAACCACACACGTCAATCCCGGTCAGAGTTCCCGTGTCAGCGCACGAGGTAAGCGCCAAAACAGCTGTGTCGGGTGTTCGTTCCCGAACCCTCGTTGCGCACATCGGCGTAATCGCGCGGTGTTGTCAACGTTCTCATCCCCCGTGTCATTGTCGTCAACCTTCGGTTGTTGGCGAACAATCCTAGCTTTCTGACGTTTTCTGCGTGTTTTGATCAGGACGAAAGATGGGTCTCACGATCAGCAGTTTGTTCACCCGACTATTCGGCAAGAAGCAGATGCGGATACTTATGGTCGGCCTGGACGCCGCCGGCAAGACCACCATACTCTACAAGCTGAAGCTAGGCGAAATCGTCACCACCATACCCACAATCGGATTTAACGTGGAAACGGTGGAGTACAGGAATATCTGCTTCACCGTGTGGGACGTGGGCGGTCAGGACAAGATTCGACCACTCTGGAGGCATTATTTCCAGAACACCCAGGGCCTAATTTACGTCGTAGATAGCAATGACCGCGAGCGTATAAGCGAGGCGGAACGCGAATTGGCAAACATGCTGAAGGAGGACGAGCTGCGGGACGCCGCGTTGCTGGTGTTTGCCAATAAACAAGATTTGCCCAATGCCATGTCCGCGGCCGAACTTACGGATAAACTAGGCCTGAACTCGCTGCGAGGTCGCCATTGGTACATTCAGAGCACCTGCGCCACTCAAGGACACGGACTGTACGAGGGTCTGGACTGGCTGAGTAACGAGCTGGCCAAAAAGTGATAGCGCTTCATTATTATTACTTGGTATTCTTAAGGACAACTTATTTTTACTCGAGTATGGACGTAGAACAGAACGGAGTTCGCTCAGCGATTTTCATCGTTGTCAAATTTGTATCGATGTAATGTCTAATGTACAGTTTACTTAATCATCGCAACATTTACAATCGCTTCAGAAAAAAAACAAAAAAAAAACAAAAAAAAAAAAACAAGATTGTCGCAATGCGCTAATACTAAGGGACGCTTGTGAGATCTGAAAACTTTTCCATCGTCTAGGTAAAATTTATGCAAAGTATGTTTTTGGGACGAAATTTGTTTTGTAGAAAAAGAGGAACGTATATATATACATATATGTTACGTATGTATATAAAGATTTATAATAGAGATGTCCTCTCTCTCTTTATATGTGTGTGTGTATATATATATATATACACACATGATTTCTAAGATTATATATATATATTTATATATATATATATATAAAGGTTGTGTATATAGAGTTCTAAGTTTCTTCATACATACCTTTATATCTTTGAATTCTAATGACAGTACCCCCTTTGATGCATTGAGTGACAAGTTATTGAGTTACAGTCTGCAACACTACAGATTCAACTGCAGTAAGTTTATTTATTTTGTACATTTATCGTATACAAGAAAAGAAAATCAGATTAGTTTTGTTCTTTATAGCTTTATCTACGTCCGTGCTATTCATCAGGAATGACACACGATGATGTATTGTGATGTATGTTTTACACGCGCAGATCGTTTACACTCTCTCGTATTATTTTCTTCGAATAAATTAAGTTTTCGGATAAGTAAACGCTAGCTTGTAAGATTTATACGAGTAAGTAACTTGAATTAACTTTATTATATCATCTCAGAGGAAATAAAACGAAAAACTTTAACTCAATATCAAAGGGCTTTCCAGAGCCCCAGATTGTGATTGTCTCCGTTTTTAATCAAGTTACTCGTTTAAACACTGTGTAAGGAAAGTGTGTTTAGAGATCATTTGCGCAATAAATCTTGAATACACGCAGAAAAGATGTGCGACTACTTTATCTACCTTGTAAAAAAAAAAAAAAAAAGATGAAAACACATATATATTTTTTGCTCTGTTATATAATCTCGAGTAAAATATAACAAAGGAAGTGGGAAACGCTGTGAAAGAGAGACAGAAATCAAGGAATAGCGCACGGTTTCTCTTATTTTTTGGTCAAAATTATGTATTGTCGTGTTATAACTGAAATGTACATTTGTTTGTTTTTTTTTTTTTTTATTACAATACAAAACAGCGGTGTGTAACAAGACTCTGTAATGTATAACGTATCAAACGATTTGTGTTAATGTTTCTGGTGTTAATTAATTTTTTTTCTCACATATACTCGTATACGGCAATCTCTTTTATAACGTTTCTATTCCTCGAACAAAATTTTATAGCAAATAAATTACAGAAGAAAAACGCGTGTATGTATACACGGTCAGCACAGTGAAACCGAAACGTCAGTACGCTCTATCTATATAAATACAATGTGTATATAATTATATATAACACATATATATATATATATAATTATGTACAACGTGTAATATAATATAACTTCATATATATATGTCTGCGTCTTCATCTTTGTAACTTGTAACAGACTTTTGTAATCATTAGCTTATTTTTTCATAAAGTTTATTATTATACAAAAAAATATCTGATTCTCGTTTACATCGCCAATCGTGACTCGAAAATCACATTGTTAATACAACCGTCTGTAAAAGCTACGTATTCTCTAGTTTTTTGTTTTTCTTTTATTTTTTAAATTGTCGCCTCACACACAAATGTTGTTTTCAACAACAAACGTGTAAACGATCTTATGTAGCGAATGCAATCAACGCTAGTTTCTATGCACAGTTTTCAACCCTAATCGTGTTTTCTTTTTTTTTTTTTTTTTCTAGAATAAATATTACGTAGTCATGCTGGTAGTTTTACGTACTATAGATGTGTGTGTAACACAATATGAGACAAGTATTATCTCGGTGATGATACAAATAACACAAGAGCGTTTGTATTTACAAAATTTGTTTTCAGCACGGGCGAATCGGTTCACTCAAGTTCCTGGGAACAACGACGGTCGATGTGTGAGCGCAATTTTACTCATTTACGTACCCACGTGTTTTTCGGTGGTGGCGTGTTGCATTTGCCCAATGCCGGAAAGTGATTTTCTAGCGTGTGACTAGACATATGTGTTCGGAAGTCCGTTCCGTTCCTGAGAACCTGGCCGCACGTTGCGCACATCTCCAATCCCTTCGTCTTGCCGCCGACTTCTCGCTTATGTACCTTGAACAGTTCCTGTTGCTTCGCGATGTCCGGCAGTAGCGCTAGAAGTTCGGGAAACACGCTTTCGAACGCGCTGGCGCCCATCACTTCGCGACAATGTGTGTAATACTCCTGCGCGTCGCAAGTGCCCCCGCGAAATAGACCGCTAACGTAGCGAAACTCTTCGATTTTATCTTGTTCCACCAGAACGTCATTGAGCTTTGTCACGAGACAACTGTTTCGTTTCTGAAAGTCGGGCGGCGTCACGTAAGAATGTTTGCTGCTGTTGTCCGGTAGAATGGAGTAGCTCTCGCCGGAACTGTTCGTGAACGTCAAGCCGTTACTGCCTTGCAATCGGTCGATACTGTTGTATTTGATCGAAAATCCAGGTGGTGGTGGCGGAGTCGGTGAGGCGAAACCAGGCGGCGGATTCGTAAAGTCAGGCAGTCTGTTGCCGCTGACGCTACCCAGAACGGGGAAATCCTCCGCTCTATGTATATTGTTGTTAGTCGTGTTCAAGCTGTCTATTTTGAGCTCGCTGCGTTTCCTCTGTTTTTCTCCGTTTGAAAAACTGCTGCTGCCTCCGCCAACAGATTCCATGTTTATAACTGTCGCAACGTCCGAACTTGCGTCCACGTTGTTTTTGTTCTTCTTCTTATCTTTCTTACTCGTGTATTCTGTTTCCTTCGAATTACGAACGTTCGAATGTTTGGACGCGTTGTCGATATTGCTCATACTGTTATTGGTATCCTGCGTGCTCTGCGAGCTCTCGTTAGACGCGCTGTTCACGTCAACGCTGTGCGCCAATTCGACGTTCTTCTTTGTTACCGCGATATTCGCATTCGATTTCGAGTTATTAGATTCGTTTCCGCTCGAACTGTTGCTGCTAGAAGTCTGTTTCGCTTTTTTCTTCTTTGTCTTGCTCTTGGTTTGGTCAGTTGTTGATTTTTGCGCGTTATTGCTGGAATTGCTCTGCGAATTGCCGTTATTCTGTGAGCTCTGTCTCCACGAAGGTACCGATGGCACCATCGTAATCACAGATTGTTTCTTTGATTTCGACGATTTGGATAAACTAGGAAAATCTTCTCCTGATTGAATGGTCGGCGGCGAAGGTATCACGGGCGCTGGCGCGATTTTCTTTGACTTCGGCACATTCGTTGATGCCGACTTCGAGCAAGTCCACTGCAGAACTTCTTTCCACTGTGTCGAATTGGCAGTACTGGTGGACGGTTCGGAACTGCCTAAGGCGGGGAAATCGGAATCTATGGACAATTGCGCGGGACGTATCCTGATGTTGGGTCCGGACACTCGAGTGGTGACGGTACCGTTGGGCTCGTGATTCACCTGAATGGAAACGTTTGAAGATGTGGAAGCTTTTTGACACTGCGACATACCACCGGAACCCGAAGCGTTACTACTGCTGGAGACGCTAAAGTTCACCGTCTTCGAGATACTCGGTCCTGCCGAATCCGGACCAAGCGCAGGAAAGTTTTCGTCCGTAACCGCGAGCGGCTGATTTCTCACGGTACTGCGAATAGTCACGTTTCCTCTGCTCTTAGGCTGCGTTAACGTGGGAACGACGGGGGGAACGGCGCCGCCACCTAACGTAGGGAACTCGTCGGTACTTTGTACATCCGGTTGTCTCGTGAAAATAGGCTCGTTGTTGGACGCGAACGAAGTAGATCCGCTTGGCGTCGGTCCCGATTGATAATCTCTAACATTATAGTCTCTGCCGTTGTAATCTCTCGAGCTTCTCGATGTAGCGGGGCCTGGCATGCCTCTTCTGTTCATCCGATTTTCGCCGCGTGGCGCCAATGTGAACTCCAGTTCTAAAGTTCTCGCCTGTTTCGCGGCAGCTTTACTTAACTGCTTGCCGTGTACCGTAGCCTTGTGCGCTTTTAGATCTATGTCAGTTCGGAAAACACCCGTAAACTTTTCCTCTGCGCACAATCCTTCTTCGCACAAATAATGTTCCTGTCGAAAGTGATCTCTGAGATAATCATACGAGCTGTAGTACTGATGCAAACCGTCGGCGTCGCAGAAGTGACAATACAAATGATCTCTCCTCAAATGTCGATAAAGCTCATCGTTGTCCATATAACGTTGATCACAGAATTCACAGAGCGGGTGACCCTTATGACTTTTATCATCAATATCACCTTTTCTTCTATGCGTGGCCAGATTTGCTCTTGTGTAGCAACGCCTTTCATGTGAAAATATCTGCTCGGAAAGAAAGAGAAATTGATAGACAAACTAACAAAATGTTTTTTGCTGATTAAAATAATGCGCTCTCAACTAAACAAAGCTAGTTACCTTTAAATTTTCTACACACAGTTCGCAGTAATGCAGCTCGTGTCGTTGTCGCATATGATCCTTTAAACTACTAAAACTGCTAAACACCTGTTTCTCCTTACATATCGAACAAGTGTTAGCTAACAATTCGGTAAACTTTTCCTGAATGTCAGGACTACAGAAATAGATGTCGTATCGCGTGTCCACCAGATTTATATTAGTCAAACTATGAAACGGCTTAATCTCTCGCGTGAACACAACCTTTGGCATATCCTGACGACAGATTGGACACTCGTTCTGCCGACAGAGCACTCTCATTCTGGTGCTACATTCGTAACACACAGGATGCTCACACATGCCGATGCTGTAGATGTCAACATTCTTGTAACACACCACACAGGTATTGTTGTTGAAACTATCACTGCTTCCGGACATTATTGCTGAGACAACAAGCTCCAACACAATCAAGAAACGCTTTGATCAATACACTGGGTATTTTTTTTAATAACAGATCCTCCAACAGCACACTGACTCCTAAAACAAAACAGACACAATACAGACAAACGTATTCGCAGAAAAGAGTAAAAAAAAAAAAAAACAAGTACACAGGTAGAGAGAAAGGCGTCGCGTGCGGCGAGAGATAAATCTCGTGCAATTATAGCAAATCGCACGTTTTTCGATGTGCTGACACACACACATCGGCCGTGATCGCGACGTCACGCGACGCAATCCTCGAAAATATTCGGTCGTACCGAAGTATCTGGTCGTAAAGACTTTTTCGTAGATTCCGTCGACTACCGGACGCGCTATATATCTGCCGAAAATAGATAACGGTTGCTCGCGAAATTGGCAGCTGTTTCAGCAGATGGCAGAAATTTCACTCACGGCCTCGAGAAACGGCGGCAGGCCGAGGAGGTTATCGCGACAACTTCGCGACAGGTTTCAGACCGGACGAGAATCGAGATCGCGCGATTCGAAGAGAACGGTGTCCGCGATCCGATCGGTCGGAGGATCGGACGCGTTTTTGCTCTCCTCGGTTTCGGTTTTTTTGTACACGAATATGAAAGGGAGGAGAATTTATTCGATCCTTTGTCGAATAAATAGTCCTTCAGAATCTTATCTACCCGCAACGCGTATCGTCGCGTAACATACATACCCGTGTCACCTCCGTGCGCCAACGGACAGTTGAGAAATTCGCCTCGAACGTGTATATATGTATACCCGGAAACGTGTGCGTATATATCACACCGCTATTCGCCGCGTTTGTATTTTCGGTCGCGTGACGCGACGAACAACGACCGTACCGATTGGTGATATCAAAGCAAAGCAAAAGTAAGTATCTATTAAAAATTGTAAATTACTTACCCGTGTCTTCTTATCGCGTCTTCCCACACGAGAGAAGAAGTTTTCGAGAAACAGATGACAACCACGCGGCCACATTCGAATGGCAGCCAATGACGTGGAAACCACACACAACCTATCGCGATAAATCCGAACGCGCGAGTACCGCGATATCGTCGCTTCGTTTTTTATCGACGGCCGTACATCGAGAATTTTACACGAAGTTTTTGAATAATGGCAGTGAAAAACAAAAGTGAGAAAACACACTTGTTTTGTTACATTTATTTATTTAAAGCCAAGAATTCGAACGAGGCTTTTTAGCGCAGATGTCGAGATGCAAAAACTTAAGTGACAAATATACGAGTAAATTTTCTACAGAAATTTATTTATATAATCAAAATTTTTTAATTAAAGAACGCGCATCTCTCACGTATGTGTAATACCTTATTCAATTCTAGTGGCAATAAAATCGTTGACATTTTTTTCTTTTGTGCAAAAAATCATATATCGCAGAGCTGATAAAAATGTGTGACACCAGGCGCCATCTACGCAACGTACGTTAATTAACCCCAGTCACAAACTTGTGAGCGTTGAGAACGTCCTTGTTTAATTATGTAGAGAATATTGCAAATTTTTGCAATACAGAAATTGTAAAAACAATCTGACTTAAAAAAAATTATTTTTGAAATCATCGCATCACTCTTTATAATATATATAAATGCTGAGGTGTAGTACCTCTTTTTCAACCACTTGTCTTTTCATTTCGATTTATCGATGCGAGAAAAAATTGCACGTGGCTTCGCAACTATATAGCGAAGTTGCGCGAAAAACGACAGTCATCTTTCGCGCGAGTGACGTAACATTTTTTCTATCAACTCGCTCCTGATTATTATAATGCGATGAAAAATTATATGAGGATTCTGATCTACTTTTGCGCTCGCACGTTATGGTTTAATTGGAAATCCTCGCGGGCAATTATGCTTCGGCATACGTAATAAGCGCGATGAGGCAATTCCGTCGAACGCGCAGCTTTTTTAAATATATGATCCAAGAAAATATGCGAATGCAAATACTTATTTGCTAATTCAAGGTAGTCTTCTTTCGGTTTTTGTTCGCCGCAAACCGCATTGAACAACTGCCGCGCATATAAGTTATTAATCGTTATTAAACGTGTTTCCTGTCACGGTAACGCACACTTTATCGTAGAGTTTCGACAATCGCAACAAAAGAAAAGAGAGAAAAATATCGTGATGTATCATTTGTCTGTGCTCACACACACACACACAAATTCTGGTAATCCTGAATGAATTGATGTGATTAATACACGTATACGTTTATGATAACATGCTTTTCGGTTGTTTTTTTTGATGGATAACATTTTTTTAGAGCGTACTAACAAAACAATGCCTTTATATCCCACTTGGTTTTATCTTATATTTATGTATATTCCGTCTTTTCTATGTATATTTATAGCACTATAGAAAGAGATAGCTATATGAGATATGGAAACGCGACAAAAGCGTGTTATTAACAAAAATTGCAAATCTTTTCGTTACAAAATCACATAAATATGTTGCGCAATAATGCTGCAACGCGTGTAAGATTTCACATTATTATTTTATATTTTAATACGTATAATTTTTCGTATTTAGAATACATGACACGTGCATCACTCTTATTTTAACGGGAAATAGTTGTTAACTTTTTAAATATATCTTGAAAGTTATATTTATCGATGATTTGTTTTGAACATTAATTTATAAGAAAGATGTTTTTGATATACAGAGCTCTGTCTAAAAATTCGTATTTTTCTCTATCGAATATAAATATCTCGTCAAACAATCTTTTAAGCGATATATATAAGCTGATAATATGGTTAACGATGCGTTCGATAAAAAAAAAAAGTAATTACCGCACATGTGCGTGTATTACAAATCTTTTTCTTTTAATATACTTGTCTAAATATATTCCCTGTCTGACGTCACCAGAACGTTTTTCCCACAAGTATCGAAATTCCCAGACACGAGTGCAATTATCTTTCAGTAGATTAGATGTTTTTCTTGTCAGTACGATGTGTTTGGTTTTGTTAAGCAAATAGAGGAAACAATTTATTCTTGCACATGTATTGCACGAGTGCTCAACTTTTTTAGTACTCAACTTTTTTAAACATACTTTTCGAATGTAATTGTTTTTTTTTTTACACTAACATCGAACGATTCTTGTTAAATCCTGAGAAAAATCCATACGTGAATACAAATGTGCGATACCTCTCAGACTACACACACGTGTGTGTCTAAGAGATTATAACACTCAATCTCTCGGGGAGCGCGGGAGAAACTGGCTTTTAAAATTTTCATTTATTCAAGATTGCGAGCAATATCGTGTTAAATGCTAATAAAAGTCATGCGCATATTAGCGCGCGATGTAAATCTGATTCGGACGCGCGGAAGGGACAGTTTATCATCGGAAAGCGCGATTATCGCCTCTCAAGGGGTTTCGATTTCGATTGAAGACGAATCTCCCGTCTCTTCGTTGTCTCGCGACACACACTTGAAAAACGTCGCGTCGCGACTGCTCGACGTTACGTGACACGAGGTAACGTGACACGACGATGCGCGCCGCGACGATTCTGGAATTCTGAGTTTCTTGAGCAGTGTAGTTGAGCGCACGCTTTCTGACGGAGTGGACTTTGCGCGCGTTTGTCGCGTTTATTTGCGTCAAAACGGGCGCATGCGCTTTTTCAATGCCTTTCGTTTTCGGTCGCGCGCGAAAACTGAAGGAAGTGCAACAAGTGTGGTAAAAAAAATCAATCATTCCTGCCGCAGGAATTGCGGAGGATATGTGCACACACACGTTCACGATGTACGGAAACATGACGGATTGCGCTTGCGCCAGATGCCGTCGCTGATAAACGAATCCACGAAGTAGCGCAACTGATCAACGAAAGGCGCCACAGTCGCCAATTAGGTTGGTTATCCGTTTTGTTTTTCTCCGCGACGTGGCGCTCTTTTTAGACTGTACACGGGGTGTCCTGCAGGTCCTTGATTGTCAGATTTCAAATTCTAACACTTCGATCATCAATTGGAAAAATTGCGTCAATACTGTTCGAGATTTTAAACAACGTGTCAAAATATTTCCGACACACCCGGTACATACATGAATTTTACATTAACAGCTCTTTCTAATTTCGGAACAGATGTTATATACAGTAGTAGCCAAGAAGCGTTTCCAAAACTTCTGAGATGAATCGCGAGTCGATTTCTATTTATAACTCGACTCTATTTTTGACTTTCCAATTTTAACTTGTTTAGATCGCGCTCTCCGTTGACTTCTGTTTATTTTCTCATCGCGAGGAAAAACTCTTATTCATGTAAACGCGCTGAAAAATTCTTTCTATCGCGTTCTCATTATTGATTACAAGAAATCATCTAAATTGTGCTGTCGCAATCGCGAATTAACTCGTTTAAATCTCACTCGTTCGAGTCAAATCGACTTTATACACGATCGCGATGAATCGAATGTGTTGCGCGAATGACGATATATTTATATCACGCCTCGATTTGCTGCTTCTCTCCATCCCTTCCACTTGTGGGTGCTCGTCGTTTCTAATCTCCCTGAAAACGAAGATTAAAGCGGTGACGGTACTGATAACATGATAGGAATTGGTGCCATTGCGGCAATACTCAATATATATCCGAAAAAGTCGTCGCGACGACGGCCATTGATTAGAGCGATCGAATTGAAATTAGATGCGAGACATTACGAGAATGTTATGATTTCCCTCCTTTTTTTCGTTTGAAAATCGAAAAGGTGCTTCTTGCGGCTATCTTCAGAGTGAACGGCGTTTTGCGTTGACGAGCAAAATCGTCTAATTCGTTGCGTTGAAGATTTGCGCTTTTTCGAATTTGACTTAATACGTAGGTAAACGAAATTTTTTTTTTTGAATTTCCAGTTGATGATTCATCGAAGCGAGCGGCGGAAACGGTCTCGATTTCGATATGGAAGATATGCAGGAACTGGTGATTAAGAACTCCGTAATCGTCCAGGATGCACATCCGACGTCTTCTTCCACTTCAGACAGTGGTGAGTATTTCTATATATTTAAATTTTCAAACCCCGAGGTTTATTAGAGTTTTTTTTTTACGAAAAAGTTTAATATATGTGAGAGAAAATGATGTTACAGATAAAATAATTTTGTTTAAACTTAATTAAAATTTGAAAATATAAAAATAACCAATATATATTCAACAATTATAAAATACAAAATAAAATGTTTTAAAAAGTTCTTTTTTATTTGAATGTGAACTATAACTACTATTTATCTCTGTATTTTTTAGTCGTTGAATATTTTATCAAAATGTTTTATTATCACTTTAGTTTGTAATTTTATTTACTAAATTCCGAAACAAAAGACTTAAAATGAGCAACATATAGATCACAATAAATCTTCTTGATATAGATTTTTTTTTACTGGCTTGCAGGATTGGAGAAAACATACTTAATTATTTATTTCTCACGTCATATCTAATTATTTATTATTTTTGAATAATACATACATTTCGAAAACGTATACATTTCGTAAACGCGTTAATGTAAAATATCAATTTGGAAAATCTATTGTATTATATTTATAATAAAATTGTACATATATATATATGTATATATAGTATATGTAATTTTATTATAGATATATAAAGTTTACATATAATTTAAACATCTATCTATAGATATATATTATAGATATCTATCTATAAATATATATAAAATATGTTGATATTATAACATTTGATATATTCCCAC